AAAATGCCATTATTTTTTTACAAATTCATGATTATCTCCCCTTGGAAAAGGGCGTGGTCCTTCATTTGAACAAACTTGAATCCCCTTCACCCAAGAATACTCTGTGCCAAGTTTGGTTGAAATTGGCCCAGTGGTTCTTGAGAAGAAGAAGATGAAATTGTGAAAAGTTTATGACGACAACGACAACGACAACAACGACAACGACGACAGACAACGGACAAATTTTGATCAGAAAAGCTCACTTGAGCCCTCGGCTCAGGTGAGCTAAAAACTCATATTAAGTTAAAGGATTCTGAAATGAACTATAAAAGACTTTAGAAACGTGCACAAAACGAATACCATTACATGCATTTTTTGTCATTTAAAGTCAAGTTAACTAAGTGATTATTTATATATTAAATTACACCCAATTATGAAGGCGCCGGTAAAAAGAATCTTCATTCCTTAAAGATATTTAATCGCACTTTTAAACGTATTTTCATCACAGGATACTGGTTTCTTCGGCATTCTTTCGATGTTGAAAATTAAAGTTTTTCTAGCTTATTTAAGTGTCTTTTTTTCTTTGTGAATGACTGTCTTCATAAGATTCTGAACGATAATTAACCTACGCTGGCCAACTTTAAAGATCTGGAGTCGCTTTTTTAAGTTTAAGCATTTAACCCTGAAGAAAAAAATGTATGGCACACTACAATAATGTTGTCTGATGACGCACCTGAATATAGTCGAAAATATTGCGAAGTGACAACCCATTAAATATTCAAATGAATTATGTTATATTCTGTAGAAGGGAATTTGATATAAAGAGAAGAGAATTCACTTAAACAATAGTCTGAATAAATTAACTATAGTTTGAGAACAAAAATACTGTTAACTTAATGCCACACATGCTTATAGGAAAAATCAATCCCAAACAATTCGATAGCAGAATGTCAGCCTACAGTAACTGTTGTACATTACTATCTAATCCCATATAAAGCTGCTCTAAAACAATAACAGTTATACACAGGCCGGTTATCTATTGACAATAAGGAAGAATCGTTGTAAAGACGGTCATATTCTGAATGGAACTAAAAAAAAATAGAAATGTGCACAGAACGAATCACAGTCATGCATTTTTTTCTATTTAAAATCAGATTAACTATGTGTTTATTGATATATCGAATTCCACCCAATTATTGTTAATTATATAAAGGCGCGGAAAAAAAACATTTAAATGTACATTGGTCATGATCGAGTAAACAATTTTACTACGTTTTCACAGTAAACAAAACCGACTGCACCTTACATTATTATAGTCATGATAAAAGACGTTAAATTTTGAGGGGAAAAACTGTTGAGACTAAACACATATCAAAGCAGAAAATGTATATATCAGATTATTTTTCCAACTCATCATTTTATTAAGCATGAATTTACTTATACTATGGTGGCATATATCTGCCCCTACATACAAGATAAATAAATTTTAACATGCAACATATATAACTCAACAAAACACTTTATTATGTTGACTCTTCTAACAACTCTTCTAAGAATTACAACTCTTCTAAGAAAATTTGGTTCAAATATTGGTTCACTCCCGTACTGTTACCATGCAAAATATGTATGTTGATATGCAACTTATTATCTTGCATATTTACATAAATGTCTCACATAAATTCACAGAAATAATCGGCATATTCACATAAATAACTGTAGCTGTTAATAGAATTCTCATGCATATGAACATAGATATCTAGCATGCAGATATAATATTCTTGCATGTTAACATAGTTATTTTGCATGTTAACATAATTATTTTGCATGTTAACATAATTATTATGCATGTTAACATAATTTATCTTGAATGTAGGAGGCAGGAATATGCTTTCTAATAAATTGTGCAAGTTTGTAAATCGTATGCAATTTTGAACATCGAAATTTGTTACTAAGATATTAATCTACTATCCATTCCATGCAATTTCTATGCAAACAAGTCCGTTTAACTATTATACTCTACTTTATATGTGTTTATCAACTTATCTTCTAAAAATGGGATAATACAATCATTCTACGCTGAAAGTTTATATGAATATGACAAACAGACGCTTGTTATCAGGTGATGATGATGAGAACAAGGATGAAAATACTTCAATTGCTTCTTAAAGATTTAAAATGAACTGAAAATGATAGCAAAAATTCTCTAAAAAGAGGATGAACTGGGCAGATTTAAAGTATAATTCTGACACTCTCTGACCATTCATGATATGTAGATTATACACTAGCAGGAACGTACGAGGGTCATTCAAACGATTCGTAGACTTTTGTCCTTACTTTTTTATTTAACGTCATATTATATCCAAATTTGGTATAAATATTTTAACAACAGATTCAAATAATTAAAAAAAAAAACAATTGTAATGTATCTTCATATTTATCAATATTACAGAGGATTTAGTACAGCAAAAACGGTGTCACGGAGCACAGTCAAAATTGAGTTATTTACTAGTTTTTACTTTAAAATATTGTCTAAAGAGTTTGGAACGTCATTGAACGTAGTGTATGCTTCACTGTTGCAGAATTAGTAGAGTTACAAGGTAAATTAACTAGGCAGATTTAAAGTATATTTCTGACATTCTCTGACCATTCATGACATGTAGATAATACACTTGCAGGAACGTACAAGGGTCATTCAAAACATGCGTAGACTGTTGTCCTAACTTTTTTACTTAACGTCATATTATATCCAAATTTGGTATAAATATTTTAACAACAGATTCAAATAATTTGAAAAAAACAATTGTAATGTATCTTCATATTTATCAACATTACAGAGGATTTAGAACAGCAAAAACGGTGTCACGGAGCACAGTCAAAATTGATTATTTACTAGTTTTTACTTTATAGTCTTTACAGCTATACCTCTAATTAATGGAGCTGAAACAAAATAAAATTTACGTTTAAATAAAGTAATGTTGTATTAATTAAAATGAAATCAAGTTATACAATATATCACTCCATTTAAAAGATATCAGTTTCTAAATACCTATGGACTTGATTAAAAAAAGCAAAAAACCATGTCGTTGGAGGACTTCACGGAGCAGCACGTAGCGATAAAATTGTACTTTACATTCGGGAAACTTCTTCTACAAGCTTCAAAAAATCCGTATAAACCAAGATTTGTATGAAAAATAATATGTGTATTTGTATTTAATGGAAAATACAATTTTTGAGTGGTAGCGAGTTTGAATCGGACGATGGATTGTCTGCAAAGAAACAGGTTAAAGTTAGAAATATTGTCTAAAGAGTTTGGAACGTCATTGAACGTGGTGTATGCTTCACTGTTGCAGAATAAGTAGAGTTACAAGGTAAATTAAAGAATTTGAAATTAACAATGACATTCTTATGCAATCTATATTTGTGTAATTGTTCGCAAACTAGGTGCTAAGTGTTATGGATATGTTTTTTGAATGGAGAAGACGCTACAAACCGTGTTTAAAATAAAAAAAAATGGTATAATTTTGACAAACTTCCTCAACGTTGTCTTTGATGTTACAATGTTGGTTAACCGTGCTTCTGTGGTAACAAAACATGTTGGTTTAAATTTTGGCTAACATGAGTTCTATTTAATCAATGGAATGAAACTTCACACTTCGACAAAAAATGTTTATGTTTACGAAAATGTGTTGATCTATAATCTTGTTATAATTATATGACGATGAGAAGCATTGATTACGTATTTTTTGATTGACCCTCGTAGAATTCAAAGGGAAACAGAACCCTTGCTTTTTTCCATGTATGGTTTTTGCTATAAGGAATTTTACTGTAAATGTAGACTGCATCACCCCCCTTCCCCAACACACACATTCGTTGATGATGTAAGTTCGTGAACACGTAAATGCGAGGATTTTGACGGTTTCGAGTGAGTAGCTTTTCTTGTCAGATTATTAATGGAAAGTTGGTCCTCTTCTCTCCATTTTATGTCATTATTTGTTCCCCTTGTTATACTAATTGTGGCCCCGCCCTGTCCCATTGGCTACAAGGCTCACCTGAGTATCTTTGACCCTGCTGTTCCCCTTGTTATACTAATTATGGCCCCACCCTGTCCCATTGGCTAGAACGCTCACCTGAGTATATTTGACGCTGCTGTTCCCCTTGTTATACTAATTATGGCCCCACCCTGTCCCATTGGCTACAACACTCACCTGAGTATATTTGACGCTGCTGTTCCCCTTGTTATACTAATTGTGGCCCCGACCTGTCCCATTGGCTACAACGCTCACTTGAGTATCTTTGACGCTGCTGTTCCCCTTGTTATACTAATTGTGGCCCCGCCCTGTCCCATTGGCTACAAGGCTCACCTGAGTATCTTTGACGCTGCTGTTCCCCTTGTTATACTAATTGTGGCCCCGACCTGTCCCATTGGCTACAAGGCTCACCTGAGTATCTTTGACGCTGCTGTTCCCCTTGTTATACTAATTGTGGCCCCTTCCTGTCCCATTCGCTACAAGGCTCACCTGAGTATCTTTAACTCTGATGTTCCTGTTGTTATACTAATTGTGCCCCCCTGTACCAGGCATTTAACTCCTGTGTGTAAGTCTGCGACTAGTGAGAATTATGTCTGACAGACAACACCTTCTCCCCCTCCGATACTCAACCCCGGGGCTTATTTGTTATTTTTTTCACAATTTATATTTAGTCCACTTATTCAACATGTTTGCAATAGGAATAAATCGTCAAAACAACAAAATAATCGCTCTACAAAAAAATACCCCACTATACATTATAAGAGAGAAAGGTAAGCATCTTTGGTTTGTTAACGTTGTATCCCCACTGGTTTTTCTGGGTTTAAAAACATGTATTTATTTCATTTCACCTAAAGTGTCGGTCCACAATTTCTCTACATATATTTCTGTCTCCGTCCATGCTATTGAATTGACTCTGGTAAGAATCCCACAAACAGCATTCCAGTTAGAATGTTGACATTTCCTTTGGTAAAGTCTATGGCCCCAGTCTGGTATGATGTGTCACTGTACTAAGAACCGTAACTCTGTATTGTTTTCATGAAGAAACAATTGTTTTGTTTTATTAAAATTTGTTTTTAATTTTGACAGCTACCACAGAATGCGATGTCAACATTATAGAGAATTATGAAGATAATCACCATCATGTACAGATTTACATCAGGTTTACATTTTTCTTTTGAGTTATATTTGAAGAAAATAAAGAAATACGCTAGAGTCTTAAAAATCAGTCAAAGGGATATTTTTTTACTGTCTAAAAACAATTGCATTACATATATATCTATAACTAACCATAAGGTACTGTTCTTGTCCTGTTTTGTTTTGAACATATTTTATTGCATAATTCATACAAAGAGATTGGTAACAAGTTCTTACAACTTAGATAAACCTTTCCTTATTGTTCTAAGGTTGTTCTACAAAAATAGATACTATAAAATGTACTGATCTTATTTTGACAGATTTCCCAGGATGTGCTGTATAACTGTCTAAATGATGAAGAAAATGAAGATTGATTGATAATCTACAGGTTTCTGAATAACTTCGAATATACAAGGATAATATTTATTTTAAAGAATTTTCAAAATTAGAACTGCATATCTTTAGATATAAGAAATACATATATTTAGGAAATTGAGAAAAATAAAATAGTTTGTTGTTAAAAGTTAAAATTTAATAATGATTAGTATTTGTTCAATCATGGCCTATGAGGATAGAAATAGAATGGGATCAGAAAAAAGGTCTCCAATGTTAAACACTCAAATTTAATTTATTAGCTCATTCACAGCTTCTCTATTTGAAGAAGTAGAAAAGTTTGAAAGAAACATGTACACTAAAAATTCTAGGAAAATTGAAACCATCAAATGTTCTGTATATTATGTTGAAAAGTATAATGAATAATTTATATCATTTACTCATTTTATGACAGGATCCAGATCCAGATGATGTATTTTAAAGTGTAGCTTTGGAAAAGAAGAGCTCATCCCCACTATACAGGTTTATATAAGTTTAACCTTACCTAAGCCGAAGGCTCAAGTGACTTTTTTGATCAAAATTTGTCCAATATTTGTCGTCGATGTGAGCGTCCTTGTCAATTTTTCTCAATTTCATCTTCTTTTCTGAAACCACTGGACAAACTACAAGCAAACATGGCATAAAGTATCCTTGGGTGAAGGGGAGTTAAATTCAATTGAAGGGTCACACCATCTCTCAAGGGGAGATAACTACAAAATAACAAATTAGTGAAAAATTAATGGCATCTCTTTATACTTTTCTTCTGAGTAACTACTGGGCCAGGAAAGATAAAACATATGTAGAATCATCCTTAGGTAGCGTAGATTTGTTCAAATCATGAGTCCTAAATGAAAGATGGGGACAGAATGGACAAACAAAGTTGTGCATAGGAGTATATAGGGAAAAAAAATCTGAAGAATTGCAAATCCCAAATGAGTTATGTTTATGTAAATATCCTCTGGTAGGGTAGTCATAAATTTGTTAAAAACCATAAAGAGGTTTAAAATTAAAAATACATTCAAGATACATGTAATGCCTAAGATATTTACATGTAGATAAGCAATAGATAATGCGAACTTATAGATCATACATGGAAAGTTTATTCTATAAACACAGAAAAGGCCCGATGATACATAAATGGAAAAATCGTGACCTAGTTTCTGTAGCCTGTCAAAAGAAGGACCACAGTCTTTTCTGTACAGTAATATAAAAAGTACTTGCATTTGTTTTGTTTTTAGCTCACCTGAGCCGAATGCTCAAGTGAGCTTTTCTGATCACATTTTGTCCGGTGTGTGTCTGTCTGTCCATCTGTCTGTAAACTTTTCACATTTTCGACTTTTTCTCAAGAACCGCTGAGCCAATTTCAACCGAACTTGCCACAAAGTATCCTTGGGTAAAGGGGATTCAAGTTTGTTCAAACGAAGGGCCACGCCCTCATTCAAGGGGAGATAATTTGGAATTAATAAATATTTGGTGGTATTTTTTTTTAAAAAACAATGTGCCAGGGAAGATGAAACTTATGGGGAAACATCCTCAGGTAGTGTAGATTCAATTTTGTTCAAATCATGGCAAAAGGGAGTAGGGCGTGGCCAAAATTTTACATAGAAATCTATAGGAAAATTCTTTAAAAATCTTCTTCTCAACATAATACTCAAGAATAGCAAAGCCATAACTGATCTTATTTATATGGAAGCATCCTCAGGTAGTGTAGATTAAATTGCAAGTTTGTTCAAATCATGACCCCCTGGGGTAGGGCAGGGCCAAAATGTCCGACCAATTTTCTACATAGAAATGTATAGGAAAATTCTTTAAAAATCTTCTTTTTCAAGAATAGCAAAGCCATGATTGGTCTTTGGACTACTTTTGGATTTAAGCTTTTCAAGTATTAACCAATTCTGCTTTTTCCTAGCCACAGTGCTCAGGTGAGCGATGTGACCCCTGGGCCTCTTGTTAGCTCTTTGTTTTCTACGAAACGACAAGATCTTCTCGGCAGCTTCTTTCACTTCTAATTTCGTTTACCCGAATGTCGCTTAAGTACGACCTCTCTGATTGGTCAAAATTTTCATGAATATGAATATTTTTATGAGAGAGGTCACCAGGAGATGACCCTGAATGGGGTTTCTTCAGATCCTTGTGTAGCGATCTATGTGAGCGGATCAAAGGATCTGATTTTAATCAGATTGATAGGTTGGGGTCATTAAAAAATCTTCTTCTCAAGAACCAGTTGGCTAGAAAAGCTGAAACTTATGTGGAATCATCCTTGGGTAGTGTTTATTCTAAATCATTAAAATCAAGATGGGGATGGTGGTGGCAGGAGGGGGCGGTAGGGGGGACAATAGATATAAGAAGAGGGGAATTCTGGTAAAGAACTGCATTACCAAAGTAATCAGGTGAGCGGTGTGGCACTTGGGTGTCTTGTTTTTTTATCATTTGAACTCAAAGTTTTAAGAGTCAAAATCAGCAAGCATCGAGCATTGAATGGAAAGTCAAAATTTTATTTTTTCAAAAGCATTTGGTATATGAAAGATTTTGTCCTACCTAATGCTAAAACACAATCAAAATTTTTTTTCGAACGCATGAAGCGACTGGTATCCAAGGAAATTCATTTCCTTAGCAACAGGTTCATATTAAATCCTTATGAAAATCAATGATATTTAGACATTTTTCTACGAATATTTTTTTCTGAACGTGATAAGATACATTATTTTGGTTACTTTATTTGATAAAAGATGGAGTTACTTAATTCTCCAAAAATAGGAAAAACAAAATTTCTATAGTTATATTGTTGCCATGACAACGGGAAAAGAACATGCGTCAGTGCTTATTAATTTTGAAAAAAAGTTGCATATGTTTATCACCTTATTCACAAAATCTACAACCACTGCTGGAAAAATGAATTATGAGATCTTGTTAGGGGTTATCTATATGTCATATATATACAATAAAATTTGCAGGCAACTTTAGCAGAAAAAAGTTACAAATGGTTAATTGCCATTCTCTGTAACCACTTAAACTTTGTTGCCACGCATGGTCACCGATTTTGATGAAACTTCACCCATGCTTAGTACTTGACACCAGAAACAAATATCAAACAAAATTTCGTTGCTAAGTGTCTCGGTTGCTATGGCAACAGCCGGAAAAGTTTGAAAAATGGAGATTTTCAGCCACTTTAAATCCTGACTGTGGCTTAATAAAAACTAGAAAAAGCAAACAAACCATACTAACAAAAACATGACACCTTGATGTCACTTATACTGTGAAGAAACTGTTTAGAATATATCTCTAAGTAAGTGGTAACCAAGGGTACATTTGGAATACATTTAAAATGCTGAAATATGCTGAAAAACACTCCATATTCACTAATGGTAGGTGTTTCGTGCTAAAACTCAATCATTGACTTAAGAAAAACAATGAAAATTTTTGACCTTAAGTATATAAGTATAAGCAATATTATTCTAAAAATAACTTTTATGGTTGCCATGGTAACACAGTGTAACCATGCAAAACCAGTAACGAAGATTGGGTTAATGCTACTGTCTTGAGGGAAAACATGAAAACTCAAGACTGGCAAATATGCATCCTTAGGACCTTGCAACACCAAAACCAAAAGAAAAATTGGGTATAATTGCTACTTTGTAGTGTTACCATGGAAACAAAGTACCAGTGCTTAAAAGTGATTTTTTTTCCCGCTGCATTAAGAATTAAATTGCCATTTAATCAAGAAACAAACTAAAGAGCTCAGCTGGAATAGTCTTATCTGTTAGAACTGATGTTAAATATCATATATTGATAAAATTTGATGAATAAAACAGCACTGTTGCTATGGTTACCAAGAAGGGAAAATGTTCGATTTTTTGAACTTTATATCAATATTAAACCCTGTGTGCCAACTTCTTGCATCCACTTAGAGATTGGATGATAGTCAAAATTAAAGTCAAGTTAGCTGTTAATAAATATCAATCATAAAAGTTTTGGGAATCTTCATTTAAGGGTACGTATCCAAGGAAACAAAATATTTTTCAGGTTTTTAAGCATATATTTTCTGCTTATTTCCATAGCAACGCTCTATTTAAAGAATCTAATCTGAATTTTTTGAAATGGGAAAATTTGGAGCACACCAACATCTTATAAAATTGATCATTAGTTATGCGGAAATGTGCTTTTTTTAAAAGATAGGATCATATTTAAACATACATAGTGTTACTTTGAAGGCTCTCTGGGGCATAAATACCTTGGCAACCATTGCCAACCAAAATGAAATATCATATTTTTTCTTGGTATGTGCTTCAATTCTCTTTTTTCTTTTATTTGGTAACATTTCATCCTATAATTCCTTTTCATTTTTACGAGTATGACTTCATAAAATTCAATGAATATTATTTTTAATTTTGAATACTTTGTTACCATAGTAACGTATGTAATAGTTGATTTACCAAACATGTTTATCATGCATTTGTGACATCTTACCTTACACTTTTGGAAACAGTTATTAACAATTGTTTGCTTTGCCGCAAATGTTAACTATGGGGCTCTAAACATGTTAAAAAATGCCATTTTTCGAACTTTAAGACATGTTGCCATGGTGACTATAAAACATAGCAACCAATTTTTGCCTGATTTCAGTTCAGGGAATCAATGCCTTTTATCATAGAGAGTTTGGAGAAATTCTGAGACTATGCGTGCCACAGCTCCTATATAAAATTTCAAATCATTACAGAGAATGGCTCTTAAAATGTGTGAAAATCTGGCATTTATAAGCTTTTTTTTTAAGGGGTCGGGGTAATTTGAATACATGTTCAGTGTCTATTATATTGGCCATATTGGTTCTGATGAAAGGATACTCATAACTTTACTATTGTTAATAAATAAATGCGCAGTTAATTTCAAAAGGAATTTTATATTCCTCACAAAGGAAACTTGGAAAAAGGGGGGGGGGTTAGGAATCACCTTGTTCACCAATCCATATGTTTGTTAAATTTTGACTTTCCATAACATTTCAATGAAGTGCCACTGAAAGTTCATTCTCGATTGCTTGCGATCGAGAAATGTGCCTAAAACTTGACTCAAGGTCATTTGAACAAGGTCAAGGTCATTGGTAGAGGAAAAGTGCAACCTTTGCCCATTCTGTAACATTCTAATGAAAAGACTTGGTTTTATCTTGGGAATTATTTTTAAGCTGTAGGTTTGTCATTACCTTGAACAAAACTCATTTGATCATGTTTGGCCTTGACTCAAGGACATAGCTTTTTCAAGGTCACTGCAGTAAAAGTGTACTATATGAGTTTGACACATTTACATATTTCACTTTGAATGCAGGGAAATTGGAAGTTTGTGCTCAAACTAACAGTTTTACTACCTATGACTTGAGTATTTGTCATAGTCAAATTGTGGTATGCATATCTGCACTAGCAAAATTTTTAAAGGTTTCAAATTATTATTTAGACCTTTTTAGTAATAAAAAACATTTAATGCAATAGCAGGAATGTTGTATCATTTTATAAGCTTGCTCACAATAATTCTTGTTTATGAAAGAGAGTCACTATGACAACTCACATAATTATATTAAAAGTAAAACCATGTCAATCAGGCATGTAGCATCAGGTTTAGGTTGGGTAGGGGGGATGACTTTCCCCACCCAACTTTTTTTCTCAACGTACCCTAATATTTAACCAACACCCCCTCCCCAAGTTTGTCCTTCCGTCCGTCCGTCTTTCTTTCTGTCTCGAATATTGTGGTTTCCACACGATATCTCGAGAACCCTCTGAGCTTTTGCAATGAAATTGAGCATAGCAACAGTTAATCCCAATGGACTAAAGAAGAACCCTATTGATTATGTGGTCAAATTGTCAAAGGTCAAGGTCATACATAAACAAATTCTGTCTGTAATGACACTTTCCTTTCCACACAGTATTTCTAGAACCATTTGAGCTATTGCAATGAAATTTTACATAGCAACTCCCCGTGGCCTTATGAAAACCCTTATTGATTTTGAGGTCAAAAGGTCAAAGTTAAAGTTTATAAATTTATACATTCTCTCTGTGTGTAACACTATCATTTCCGGACGATATTTCAAGAAGATTTTGAACTGATGCAATGTATTTTATACCAAAACTCCCTAGGACCTATCTCAAAGTGTCCCGCCCCGTTTGTTTCATTAGTATTTATAGTATTACATGTTGCTATTTCTAGCACAGGGGCATGAGGAGAGTTATTGAGCATAAAACAGGTTCTCATCAGAATTTATATTCCTATCACATCTACCAGAACTGTTTAATAAAAGTTAAATGAGACACCATGTTTTGTGTAAATTTTTGACTATATCAAACGTGAATATATACATATATGAGACTTCATATTTGCATATAATTATCGAAATTGTACAGCAGTTCCGTGGCGCAGTGTTAAGTCTCCCGCTTCACATGCGAGAGGTCACGGGCTCGATTCTCAGGCGATCATTTTTTTTCCGAACTTCTTTTTTTACTACATGATAGTATTCAGCATGTGAAATGAAAAAATTATGAGGTCTAGCTTGTACAAACTCATAAAATCATCATTACGTTGTGATAAATAATCCACATAGAAAGAATCTTCTATACACATAATCAAATCATTATATCAATATAAACATATTTTATTTGCTACAGTATACATGTATACATTTAAAATTTCTACAAATTCAATAAGGGTGATCCGACACCCCCCCCCCCCAACTGCGCATGGTTCACTTTTTCCCTAAAGCGGTAGACACAAATTCTCTTAGCTTGTTAAAAAAATGCTTACAGACAAACAAAGAATGTTACTTTTGGATTGAACATTTTTATTTGATCCACTTTCATGAATACACTGTACAATTTATGGATCTATTTTCTGGATCCTTGAGTCTCTGGTAGCACTATCCACTCACTTCCAGCATCAATGGTCTGTACTGTAATGATGTATTCTCATAGTGATAATCTGAAAAAGTGATAAAATCAAAATGTAATAATATTATACAGCTTTGCCTTCAAATACTTACTAAGAACCATTTCTAGTTGAGCTTGAGCAATGATGATGAATGCAAAGCATGTTTATTGGAATCAATTAAATTCCAAGAGATCTCAATGGTTTAGTTTATCATTTTATTTTAAAAAGTTAACGTTTTTACCAAATGTAGTATTTACACGTTTTTACTGTCTAATTCTATATCAGCTCATCCGATTCTGTTTCTGTTTCTTTCCGAGTTTGGCTTCAAAGTGGCGAATTCCATTCTAAAAACAGAAGTATACAACAAAAATTTGAGTCGGTATTGATTTTAAATATTATTTAAATTTATAAACTTGTAATAAAAAGGTCAATTGGTTCTAGGTTTTGTCAAAACTCTAAATTGTGGTTTTCATTTCTTTCCAATACCCCCCCCCCCCAAAAAAAAATAGAGTATAGAAATTCTTTTCAAAATTTTATGTGCTGTAATTCTAATGATGCTTATTATTTGAACCTAGTTGACTTAACCTTTTTCTTTTTTACGACGTGATAACAAACGTCATTCCATTTTACAAATATTTCATAAAAGTGTTGATTTTCATAAATTCATAATTTTTTATGTAAAAAGCAGGTATTATCTTAAATGGTAAATAAAGATATCTATTACTTAGTATATACAGAATTTTTTTTTACCCGACAATCACTCAAGTTATATCCATTATAGCTGCCGGTGAGTGACTTGGTTACACACATGCTGTAAATACAACAAATCAAAATTAAAGTAAACTTTATAATTTGGGATACAGTTATGAAACTGATCATGACCAACTTTTTCACGTTGGGCCCGCAGAAACAATCTTAGTTGGGGAATTTAATTTCAATTTATCATATTATAGTGTCAGTATCCCATGCTTGTCGTAAAAGGCGACTAAATGGGGCGGTCCTTCGGATGAGACCGTATAAACCGAGGCCCCGTGTCACAGCAGGTGTGGCACGATAAAGATCTCTCCCTGCTCAATGGCCCTGAGTGCCGAGCAAAGGCCTAAATTTGCAGCCCTTCACCGGCAATGGTGACGTCTCCATATCAGTGAAATATTCTGGAGTGGGACGTAAAACAGTATACAATCATATAATAGTTAAATATCGTCAATATTATCGGGGAGGGGGGAGGTGCATACCCCTTCTCTTGGTTCCTCGGGACATGCATAATCTTTTCTTTTTTGTTATGAAAAACTAGATTAATGCTAACATAAAGAATCAATCAGAATTGTGCAAAAAACACTTGCCAAGTTTTACATATTTTCCTGCATGGTTAATTTTTGTTATACATTCTTCAGAACCTGTTGTAATGGTAAATTGTAAAAAAAAAATTCAGTCACTAACCGTAATTAAGACTCATGAAACCCCCAAAACTGAGGCTCAGACTGCTCCAAGTTTGTATTTTCTTCTTGTCTTCTGTACAACGTTATTGAAAACAATGTAAGCAAACTACCGTTTATTCCTCCTATGTTAGAGAGCTATACCAAAGGGGGATAATTTGAAGTGAAAAAGACAGAAAAGTATGGATTTAAATCAGTTATCATATATAAATGCCTTAGTTGCCTGCAGATTTTTTTCTTGATTCTTATAGAAGAAATACTGTTCAATATATATTTTATGTTGATAAGCTTTAATATGGTTGTAGATTTCTTATAAAGTACTTCAAATTTGCTGTTTTTAAAGCAAAATAAACCCTCCAAAACTAGTTATATTTATCAAAAGGTGAAGAGAATTTCAAAAATCAACAGCTGCTAAAATAGAGTATATTAATATGAATAACATAATAATTTAAAAAGATTTTTTTAATGACTAGTAATAAAAAAGTATTTGTTTAACCATAAATTGAAGTGTCATGATTAAGTACAAAACACGCTATCTGAAAGGCGCGTTGTTTCCATAGCAACAATGCGAAAATTATTTTTTGCTTGCTTTTTTCTAATATTCCCTTTGTTCTGAAAATTTCTATATGAGTTTTAACCAAATCTGTTTCTATGCCACTTTCCACATTTTTTAACTCAATGCTCGTAGCTGCAGATCTGTAGCTCTCTGCTTCAAAAAAAATTCGGACAGATAAAGCAGAGAGCTACAGATCCAAGCGTTGTAAAAACCTTCGATTTACGCCGACGATTTTTCGTCGCTACTGTAGGCATTTATTTCGTGTAGTTTAAACTTTCTCTTGCTCTTAGAATGGTAACCTATAATTAATCATATATTTAACTATTTTTTGTTGATACTTTATTTACCTTAGAGTGGTCCGAAACACTCCTGCATATAGTTTTATAATATCGGTTTAAAAGAGTTGCATTTTGAGGTCCGTAAACACAAAGCAATATGTTAGCGTTGAAACACATGTGAAAGGTAAGTAAGTTATCAGGAATTGAAGTTAAATGTATGATTACTTATTACATATAATTTTTTAAGCTGGGGAATGTATAAAATACTAGCAAAATACACGAAGTGAGCGACGAAAAATCGTCGGAGTAAATCGAAGGTTTTTATAACGCTTGGATCTGTAGCTCTCTGCTTTATCTGTCCGAATTTTTTCAAGCAGAGAGCTACAGATCTGCAGCTACAATGCTCGATGCTTGCTGATTTTGACTCTTAATAATTTTATGGCTAATCATATTATTTCTTAGAAAATTCAGGTATTAAAAAATAACTCCTGGTCTACTTTATCACCAATAAAATGGTAAAAAAAATAAAAGAGCATATATGTAATAATAAATACCAGAAAACTAATGTTTTGAATTTCTTTTGACAGATTTTCATAAGGTGATATGCAGTTGTTAAGAAGAAAGTGAAGAAATCAACTTCTTACAGGTTAGAAAAAAAATCATCTATACCCTGCATTCTGTATCATAGAATATACTAGATGCACTTTTGATAATAGCTGAAATCAAATAATCGTTCCAAAAAAGCCATCAATTGATTTTTAGGTCTAGCAAATCATTAAGTTGACCTATTGCTATCATTTCTTGTCTTTGTTTGTTATGCCCCATGTGTAAATATTTTTGCAGGGGAGGGGGAGGGGGTTCCACCCCCAGTCAAAAAAAAAAAATTCTTCACAAGGAAGAAAAAAAAAAGAAAATAACAGCTCCTTTCCCAAATCTTCGACTTTCCAAGATCACTTGTAGTTGGTTTAGTCCTCTGCAAATTCTAAGTGGATGGACCCCCTGCACCCTGTGGATACACACATGCTCACTGTAGATCATACCTATCTTTATAGTGTGTGTGGCACATCATCACAAAAATCTACATTTAATACTGCTCACTGTAGATCATACCTATCTTTATAGTGTGTGTGGTACATCATCACAAAAATCTACATTTAATACTGCTCACTGTAGATCATACAGTGTGTGTGGAACGTTATTGTTGACAACTTACACGAACGATCACGTTACACGAACGATCCCGCACGATTAACGCACGATTAAACCTGTTACACGAACGATCCTTCACGCACACGATTCTACACGTTACACGATCTTACACGATTGCTAACGCAAACGCGCGATTCTTCACTCAAAATAGTTCAAAATATTTAGGAATCTGATATTTCAAAACGAAAAACTGCTTAATATACCTATTTAAGATTTCAAAGAATTATCAATATTATTTCATAGACTTTGAAGAAAAAAAAAATCTACGGAAAATGATATTTCTGTAACTAAATATATGCAAGATTAATATTTTAGATTGAAAATAATTATATCTAAGGTAATACTCCGATAAAAAAAAACGGATTTTGTTCGTTCTATTAGACGATGTACATGTATGTGTGTCGTATAATTTGATTGAATTGATTATCATGATATGCAGAAAGGGGGATACGATTGAACAAAAATGGCAGCATGGAATGACTTAAATTATAATTGCAAATTTTATCCTTATGTTTCCAATGATTCAATGTCTGATAAACTTGCCAATTATTCAACTTTTTTATTTGCAGAAATTTAAAATTAATTAATAACAAATAGGCTCAAGTGATAAACACAGATAATCAAAACTCCCGAAAATCATGCCGTGTCCATGTATATTTGTCGACTAACTACTTATGTAAGCATTGAGAAATGTTTATTTCTTTGTAAAAAATATATATATTTTCTTTCAATGAATTGATTTCAAGATTATCTTGACCATAATAAAAGTAAATAATAATTAAAATCAGATTTTTTCAAAAAGGCGTTAAAGATCTAATTACGGTTTATCACAATATTGATCGCGCTATTTGACGAGAACTTAATATTGTACGACTTACTATATTGCTTGTTTACGGGTGTGGTAATTAGTTCGTTCTGCACTCTATTATGTAAATTGCGCTCTTTCATTTTATTTGTGTGTGGTACATCATTTAATTTATTAATAAATTTTAAGTGTGTGTGGTAAAACAAACAATGGAAATGCTTATATTACAAATCATATTCCGATAAAAACTTACAAAACGAAATTTACACGATTCTAAACGCACGATCTCGCACGATTAAAAACGCACACGATTGTGTGTGATGCACGAACGATCTCGCACGTTACACGAACGATCACTCAAAAATCTATACACGAACGATTCTACACGATTGTGTTGTCAACAAAACGTTACGACCACTGTACCTATCTTTATAGTGTGTGTGGCACATCATCACAAAAATCTACATTTAATACTGCTCACTGTAGATCATACCTATCTTTAAAGTGTGTGTGGCACTTCATCTCAAAAATCTACATTTAATACTGCTCACTGTAGATCATACCTATCTTTATAGTGTGTGTGGTACATCATCACAAAAATCTACATTTAATACTGCTCACTGTAGATCATACCTATCTTTATAGTGTGTGTGGTACATCACAAAAATCTACATTTAATACTGCTCACTGTAGATCATACCTATCTTTATAGTGTGTGTGGTACATCATCACAAAAATCTACATTTAATACTGCTCACTGTAGATCATACCTATCTTTATAGTGTGTGTGGTACATCATCACAAAAATCTACATTTAATACTGCTCACAGTAGATCATACCTATATTTATAGTGTGTGTGTTACATCATCACAAAAATCTACATTTAATACTGCTCACTGTAGATCATACCTATCTTTATAGTGTGTGTGGCACATCATCACAAAAATCTACATTTAATACTGTGTGTGGTACTCACTGTAGATCATACCTATCTTTATAGTGTGTGTGGTACATCATCACAAAAATCTACATTTAATACTGCTCACTGTAGATCATACCTATCTTTAATGTGTGTGTGGCATGTCATCACAAAAATCTACATTTAATACTGCTCACTGTAGATCATACCTATCTTTATAGTGTGTGTGGTACATCATCACAAAAATCTACATTTAATACTGCTCACTGTAGATCATACCTATCTTTATAGTGTGTGTGGTACATCATCACAAAAATCTACATTTAATACTGCTCACTGTAGATCATACCTATCTTTATAGTGTGTGTGGTACATCATCACAAAAATCTACATTTAATACTGCTCACTGTAGATCATACCTATCTTTATAGTGTGTGTGGTACATCATCACAAAAATCTACATTTAATACTGCTCACTGTAGATCATGCCTATCTTTATAGTGTGTGTGGTACATCACAAAAATCTACATTTAATACTGCTCACTGTAGATCATACCTATCTTTATAGTGTGTGTGGTACATCATCACAAAAATCTACATTTAATACTGCTCACTGTAGATCATACCTATCTTTATAGTGTGTGTGGTACATCATCACAAAAATCTACATTTAATACTGCTCACTGTAGATCATGCCTATCTTTAAAGTGTGTGTGGCACATCACAAAAATCTACATTTAATACTGTTCACTGTAGATCATACCTATCTTTATAGTGTGTGTGGTACATCATCACAAGAATCTACATTTAATACTGCTCACTGTAGATCATACCTATCTTTATAGTGTGTGTGGTACATCATCACAAAAATCTACATTTAATACTGCTCACTGTAGATCATACCTATCTTTATAGTGTGTGTGGTACATCATCACTAAAATCTTTTAATACTGTGTGTGTGATCATACCTATCTTTATAGTGTGTGTGGTACATCATCACAAAAATCTACATTTAATACTGCTCACTGTAGATCATACCTATCTTTATAGTGTGTGTGGTACATCACAAAAATCTACATTTAATACTGCTCACTGTAGATCATACCTATCTTTATAGTGTGTGTGGTACATCATCACAAAAATCTACATTTAATACTGCTCACTGTAGATCATACCTATCTTTATAGTGTGTGTGGTACATCATCACAAAAATCTACATTTAATACTGCTCACTGTAGATCATACCTATCTTTATAGTGTGTGTGGTACATCATCACAAAAATCTACATTTAATACTGCTCACTGTAGATCATACCTATCTTTATAGTGTGTGTGGTACATCATCACAAAAATCTACATTTAATACTGCTCACTGTAGATCATACCTATCTTTATAGTGTGTGTGGTACATCACAAAAATCTACATTTAATACTGCTCACTGTAGATCATACCTATCTTTATAGTGTGTGTGGTACATCATCACAAAAATCTACATTTAATACTGCTCACTGTAGATCATACCTATCTTTAATGTGTGTGTGGTACATCATCACAAAATCTACATTTAATACTCCTCACTGTAGATCATACCTATCATTATAGTGTGTGTGGTACATCATCACAAAAATCTACATTTAATACTGCTCACTGTAGATCATACCTATCTTTATAGTGTGTGTGGTACATCATCACAAAAATCTACATTTAATACTGCTCACTGTAGATCATACCTATCTTTATAGTGTGTGTGGTACATCATCACAAAAATCTACATTTAATACTGCTCACTGTAGATCATGCCTATCTTTAAAGTGTGTGTGGTACATCATCACAAAAATCTACATTTAATACTGCTCACTGTAGATCATGCCTATCTTTAAAGTGTGTGTGGTACATCATCAAAAAAATCTACATTTAATACTGCTCACTGTAGATCATGCCTATCTTTATAGTGTGTGTGGCATGTCATCACAAAAATCTACATTTAATACTGCTCACTGTAGATCATACCTATCTTTATAGTGTGTGTGGTACATCACAAAAATATACATTTAATACTGCTCACTGTAGATCATGCCTATCTTTATAGTGTGTGTGGCACATCATCACAAAAATCTACATTTAATACTGCTCACTGTAGATCATACCTATCTTTATAGTGTGTGTGGTACATCATCACAAAAATCTACATTTAATACTGCTCACTGTAGATCATGCCTATCTTTATAGTGTGTGTGGTACATCATCACAAAAATCTACATTTAATACTGCTCACTGTAGATCATACCTATCTTTATAGTGTGTGTGGTACATCACAAAAATCTACATTTAATACTGCTCACTGTAGATCATACCTATCTTTATAGTGTGTGTGGTACATCATCACAAAAATCTACATTTAATACTGCTCACTGTAGATCATTCCTATCTTTATAGTGTGTGTGGTACATCATCACAAAAATCTACATTTAATACTGCTCACTGTAGATCATACCTATCTTTATAGTGTGTGTGGTACATCATCACAAAAATCTACATTTAATACTGCTCACTGTAGATCATACCTATCTTTATAGTGTGTGTGGTACATCATCACAAATATCTACATTTAATACTGCTCACTGTAGATCATACCTATCTTTATAGTGTGTGTGGTACATCATCACAAAAATCTACATTTAATACTGCTCACTGTAGATCATACCTATCTT